CTCTCCATAAAATAATTAAGTGCTGAAAGCAACAAGCAGCAAAAGGACAACATTTTGGATGTCACCACTTGAGATGATATTTAACTTTAAGAACTTTAACAACTTACAACATCTAAAGCCATGCTAATACGCCGTTTCATGTCAAATTTTGAGGTACTCTTTTGTAGTAACCCCAACAGACTTCCACTGCAACAAATGAACGAACGGAAATTAAATATCAAACACCCTGGTAAATTGGTAAGTTCAAGGATGCTGAGTAATATAGGAAACTCACAGTAACACATATGCTTATATCAGAATGAGAATGCCCTTAGGGGATAAATCAATATTTACACCAAAAAATAAAGAGAAAAAGAAAAAAGGTGATAAGATGGTGTAAGGCAAGGGTCGAGAGTAAAATACCGAGGAAGGAACTCTGTAACAATGCAAAGACGTTCAGGAGAAGTAACTGCACCCATGAAGAGGAGAATATTTGGATGTCGAAGCCTTTTCATAAGTGAAACCTTAAAAAAAATGAAAATTCTCAAGCATATGCAAGTAAATGCCAAGTACGAAACATCCAAATGTTGGGTTATTTTTCATGTTTTAGTTTTCTAAGTTTTTCTAGTGAGAGATGAATGTTAGTAAGGGAGAGGGGGAGAGTGGAGAGCAAGAGTCATCTACAGCATTAGTACAATGGTGTGAGAGGAAGCCCTTTGCCTAAAAAGAATATTGCCAACATGAAACCAGTTCATTATCAAACATCACGAGTCGTATAATTAATTGCCACAACAATCAGAGGACACTATTTTTCTTTCTAATTAAAAAGAGCACATTATACAAGCAGTATCAGGAGAAGCTCTGTTACACATTGCAATGCTACTAAAAAAAGGTGAATAATGAACTAGATGAAATACTACTGCTTTTAGAACACTTACCTCCTCCCGAAAGGAAAATATTAGCTCATCCGTATATTCTAGTTTTGAGAAAGCCTTCACAGCAACATCCTGCAGAATATAGTTTAGTTCATTTCATATGAGATCAAGGAGACATATCATCCTCTATTTTTATTAGACAAAGGATAACATTTGAAAGACTGCTAGCAAGAGCACAAGTCAATATCTTGTTCCCACATTCAAGCTCAGAAATACATATACAAGCATTGTGCAAGTGATTGCTTGGAAAACACCAGGCAGATGCATTAGCTATAAATCCATACGGGCGACTTTGTGTTTTTTAATGGATGAAGATTAAACATAACAGAAACCAATTTCATTCTATTACAATCTTCCTTTTGTCTGGGGGGTGGGGTGTTTGAGTTTGTTGAAGTAGAGAAATTTTAAGTAGGAAAGGCTGAGAACATACCGATCCATACCACCGAGCGTGATATACAGTTCCACAACAACCTACAGAAATATACCAAAAACTGATGGAAGCGATAATGAATAGAAGACGTGCATCAGCAAGAAAATGCAACTCTAAACATATAAACTATAGTACAAATCATGCTGACCAGCTGATACTAAGACAGATTCTTGGTGAACATTATAATTCAGTAAATAATATCAGGCATCAAGTAGTTTCTATTATGTTCACCACATGAAATTACAGGCAAAAGTTGTCTAGAACATCTACAACTAGATGTTACCGTACTTTTGGGACTTCACACAGTTTTAAGTTGCATGAGCAATAAAAACTAAAATGTATGACATCAAGACGTAAAAGTTTCAAAAGAACTACTTGTAAGATCGAATACACTTACCTTGCCCAATTTGTTCTCCAATAGTTAAATCCTCCCACGAGATTTCATAGTCCATGCAGTCGCTATCCCCATCAACTCTATTTACAGCACCACTGCTTGCACTCCCACAACTACTCACACTACTCATGCTATTAACATTGGCCGAGGAGGACCAAGACCCTGGAGCCTCAGGATTAGCTGTATAATTAGTTTCGGAAACCTGAATTTCTGATACTTGATCCTGTTGTAACCACGGCCAGCCAAATTTGGAAGAGTTCTGCTCATTTCCCTTCCAGGGCCATGACAGGCCTTTATTAGCAATCCAAGCCTCTGCCTTCGAGCTTAGGATCCTCGAAATTCCAGGTTTGCTCTCACTCTCATCCTCAGAATCTCGAGATGGTCTACCTGGGGGAAGGCTAGCACAGGAGAACACTCCAAATGGCGTGGGTTGTACGTCTCCTTTAGGGGTATTAGCGCCGCTTGAAGCTCCATCGTCTGATAAACCACGGTCTGAATGTTGACAACCATCACCACCACCTTCATGATCTAAGTTCTGCTCTGCATGCCTCATTTTCAATTTAACCTTGTTACTGACTTTAGTGGCCTATTTGAAATTTGGATAAAGTTAGCATATAATGCACAAATGAAAGTAGTGAACATGGGAATATAGTCCCTGAGATTCAGCCTAATTACCAAAGGACTATTTTTCCATTAAACTCGAGATACCCCATACATCTGTTTCTCTAATACAAATTGCCTTCTCATTTTTTATTTTTTAGTGTATTTAGGCTGAACCTCAGGGTGGCTTTTGCAGTAGCCCAATGACAAAACTAGAATACTCACAAAGTTCGAGATTTTGGAGGTGATTGCTGCCTGTAGAGGCTGCTGATTATCAAATCCAAATTTGGCTGCAACAGTGTTTCTAGGCTTGCTAGAAGCCGGGTCTTCTGCCAAACCCCTCAGTTCTGATATTACTGCATTTGTTTCTTCGAAAGGTTTGGAGTCACTTGTTACGCATATAATTCCGACTAAAGTGCCATCATCATTGTAGAAAGGGGTATTAGTTGCAATGGCTAAAAAAATGTCCCCTCTTTTGTTTTTTACAGGAAATTGCCCAGTCCAACTCTCACCCGAGGCCACACGTTGCACAATATCAGTAGCCATAGAAAAGTCTCGACGATCAGCCAGTAGCTCAATTCCATTCTGTCCTAGAACCTCTGCAACCGAGTATCCGTAGAGATTCTCTGCACTCCTATTCCTGCACAGACATTAGCATGATCATGAATTTTCATTTTTACAATGTAAAATCCAAAGTTAATGAATCACAGCAAAAGCCAATCAATAGTACTACTGTCAAAGAGATCTTTCATTTAGAAGGACTTCCCTAACCAAGACTTGACATTCTAATGCTATTTGATCCGCCGACCATAAACGAGCCCAATTGAAATTAGCCTTGCATGTCAACTTCATATCTATCAACTGAATTTGTAATTAGATTTGAAGTTGACAGCCAGAAGGTATATTACCAAAGACAGAAAAAAATTGAGTATCAAAAGAATCACACTAAGCATACACAAAAGTCAAGGCCACCAACAACAAAATTGAAGAAAAATAAAAGAGAGAGAAAGGGTAAAATAAAGACTTTCCAATTTTTTGCACATTTGAGAGATG